CAAGGTTGGCAGTCAGTATACTGGCTGTTGACTCTAATGAATGACGAATCCAAGATTTCCAGGCTGAATGGTGGGTTGTTTGCTCATGGACAATTCTAGGCAGAATCCTGATCCACAGAAGAATGTCTCTTTTCCCAGGATCTCTAAAAATATACTGGAGGCAGGCCACACCCCTAGGGAAAGTCCCTTTCAATGCATTGGCTGCTCAAAACACGTACATCTGATCTCATAATTGGAACAAACCACATCACAATTGCTTAAACCACACAGAATTGTGGTCCAGCCAAGTTGACACACAACTCCAACTATCACAAGTACCCACCTGGATAATCCAGTATAATCTTCCCATCTCAATGCCAGCTGAATAGTAGCCTTAATTCTATTTGCAACCTTAATTCTGCCTTACCATAACATAGCATATTCATAGGCTCTGGAGACTAGTACATGGACATCCTTGGGGGACCATTAATCCAACTATCATAAACTTCATAAGATTATTAGGACAAATTTTTTTTAATGTGCAAAATGCTTACACACTGCCTATAGGAAGCACTCAATAAATGTTTTTCACATGTAAATATTTATACAGAATGTAGCTCTGAATCATTAAATCTAAGTTAACTAATCTTAACTAAACTAAGCAAGGCTGTATATAATGTTTGGATTTTTTAGGTCCTTAACTGAATCTTCTCATTTATGTCAATGCATTTTGAATGATTATCATCTATATCTTTTTTATGACACAGCTTCAGTCATATTATAGGTTAGAAGCATCCTTCACATAAACTTTCATGAGATTATTGTTTCAGTGGCAATCAGAGTTTAGTAGATTCTCTACCCCAGTTTTTCTGGAGTTCAAAACTTTACAAAGAAAGAAACTGGTGACTTGCTACAATTAGCACTAAGACACAGTTATTAAGCAAGCAGGATACGTCTCCAAAGAGAAGTCACATAGGACATCAAGTAGGGACTTCTATAGAGAAAATCAGGAGCTCTACTGCTTTCCATGATGCTCGGTTCAGCTCTGAGATCTAAATTGCAGCTGATTTTTCATCTTTTAATCACTTCACAGAAGTTAAGTGTCCTTGGGAAACACTACAGAAAGTAGTACATATCTCATCTCATTGATTCTAAATTAATTTGATCTTTTGACTCCCAGCTTTTAAGTTTCCTAGCTGAT